TTTTATAACAGACTGAAGGGTAGGGTACATACATACATACATACATACATACATACATACATACATACATACATACATACATTTACCCGTGAAACATTGAAGATGCTTATGTACACACTATTACCTACATACTCTGTGTGTAATTTGTGATTGAAACCCCGAAAATTGTATCCAAAACAGCTCTCTCGTCGGCTAGTCTCGGCCATTTCGCCCTATTCGGAGCCTGTGGAGGCATGAATGTAGTTCACGCGACCACCCTTCTTTCCATAACTCGGAAAGATGGTTGTGTAAGTTACGACAAAGGCGGTTTTGCCTCTCCGACAAAAGATCGCTGTAACGAGACGAACTATTACTCTCTGCGCCAGTGCTTGAAACATCACGTAATCGCCTTTCACCGTGAATATAATTTGACGATTTTTCTTTCGCCATTTCCGACCATTTATCTTCCATCACAAGATGTTTTCGATGCAAACTTGTGCCTATTCACAACAAGGCTGCTCACAGCTCCGTCGGCACATGGATAAATCCATCCGCTGAATCTCCAACTCCTCGATGCGGGGCCAAATGACCTATAGAGTTTGAGTTTGGTCGCAGTCGGGTGCAACAAAAATTAGCTCATTTGTCGGAAGGAAATTTGTGGTGCTCCTGATTTGGATAGAGCAATGGCGCGATTGCACTTTCGAAAACATTTCACCTGCAGGCCTTTCACCAGTGAGGAATTTGCAATGCAGTATCGGCATTTGAACAATTTGTGGGCTGGCAACCTCAAGCTCGCAAATTTGCCAGCAATTGAACGGCCTAAGTTTCAGGCAGACAATGTTGCTGCTTGGTGCCTGCCCGGAGTTGTTAACATGAAATCGGGAGACTCTATGAAAGATTACACATAGTAGGAAGAAATTCGTGCAAAACATTCGAGAATACGCAAGCGCCTCGAGGGTTGAGATTGGGTAAATTTGGTTCGAGTCAACCTGAAAAGAAGAATAGTCTTGGGGATCATGAACCCGCCAGACGGACTACCACCTCAACGTGATTGGAGGGTGGCGTTTAGGCTTGTAAGCGTGTCCGATTTTTGAAAGTTTTGCTTATATAACAATAGTACTTCTGTTTCCTTCTGTTTTTTTTATCACAAGCTCTAATGCAATGCTCCGGTGCTCTTCAGTCATGCTAGGGTTATCTTGACCGGCTTGCCGCTTCGCGTTCGAAGCTGTGGTCAGGTAGACGTGCGAAGATCTGGAGGGATGGCGGCCACCTTGCATGAGTCCCCCTTGTCCGTCCGCCCGAGGTCGCGGTTGAATTCGTTCTTCACGCGTTAGGTTGCGCACAGCAAGCCCCGGTACGTTACGTCTAAGTCATCGCGTTCTGGATTAAAGACCAGGACTCGCTTGGGAAAGTATCCGCCTACCAAAGGGGAGGCGTCCTGTCGCCCTGCCACATGCTCTCGTCCACCAACAGATGTCGGCTTGTATGGTCCGAAAACTCTCGTCTGAATTTCCTACTGGTCGACGGAGTTTTGCGTTGGAACCTTTATCATTTTTTGATTACTATTTATATAAATATCTAAATATAACATATAGTTCAACAGCACGTCTGCATGTCTGAACGGCTAAAGGTGGGCCTCAGCTCTCTCTGGTAAAGAATGGCTATAGCCACGATGGTGAAGACTCAGCACTAGCCCTGGCAAGACAGTGTTGAGACTCCCCGAAGCAAGCTTGCTAAAACAGTAATGAATCAGCCTCAGTACCCCGCACACTGGGCTCAGCCGTCTCCGGCGTCGGACGGCATGGCGACCGGTGAGACGCGAAGAAATCTCGGGTTGCGAAGGATGCCTTTAGGTTTCGCACCATGACAGCACTTTCTCCACACGACACCGAGGCTGTTTCCGACTTTATACCCACAATGCAAGAGCAGTCTCCTCCAATGCCGCTCTACATGAGCTCCTCGATGCGGCTAGTCACATTAAATATCATGTGATTGCGCTGCAAGAAACCAAGAGCAGGAGAACCGACGTGCGACGAATGAACGATGGAACCCTCATCATTCGTGGCGAAAAGCTTCCATCGCGAAACGTCGGCGGCGTTGGTGTCGTCGTGCATCCATCTATCGTCCATCTCGCCGATTCTTACGAGATCCTGTCTCCTCGCTTTGCCATCCTACGCCTACGAAATAGCGCACATGAAGACCATCTCTATCGTTAACTGCTCTCCACACTCTGCAGCTGACGAAGAAGAGCTCGATGCGTTTTACGACCAACTTGAGGAAATCATTCACAGCGAAAAGTCCTACAAATTCGTTGCTGAAAATTTCAACGCTAGGCTGGGCGAAGCACAATAGGAGGAGTTCAGGATTGGAAAGTTCGGAATGGGGGGGACAGGAACGAGAACAGAAATCGCCTTGTTGGGCTCCTGTCCGTGGTTCGACTCTTTCATGGGAATTCTTCCTTCCAGAAGAAGGAACATCGCCGCTGGACATGGGAGTCTCCAAATGGTACAACTCATGCTGAACTGGGCCACATAAAAACGAAGAGAAGGTGGTATTTACCAGATTCTCCAGGCTCCAAGCCCCGACAAGATCTCAGCCGACCTACTCCGTGCAGGTGGCTACGAACTTCATGCGCTTCTCGCAACACACATGACATCCTACCTCTAGAGGAAGAAGATCCCCAACCAGTGGAGGAACTCGCGGATGGTCATTCTTCACAAGAAGGTAGACCGGGATGATCTTCGCAATTACCGCCCAATAAGCTTGTTAAGCGTTCTTTACAAGCTGTTCCCGAAACTCATCCTAACCCGCATATCGCAAACGTTGGATGAAGCTCAACCTGTAGAGCAGACCGGATACCGGAAGAAACACAGCTGCTTACACCACATCCGAGCGGTCGCAATGGTCATCGGGATGTGCCGAGGATTGCGAATGCCTCTTGTCCTTACATTTGTTGAAAAAAATTTGGACAGCGTCAAAGCAAATGCGGTCCTGTCAAACTGGTCGATCAAGAAGTGGACAGCTGAGGCTATGCTTGCTGAGCTTAATAAAGCAAGAAGGAAGGTAGAGCTGCGGATTAACCAAAAAAGACACAGTTCATGAAGAATGATTGGGCCGACGGAGGTCAATTTAGGATCGATGGTACACCTATCGAGGAAACCTCGTCCTACGTGTATCTCGGGTGTTCTATGAATATGAACGGCATCAGGGAAGAACTGGTGAGACTGCGGAAAGCAGCGTGGGCCGCCTTTGGAACTCCGAGAGAGTGTTACTAACCCACCCAAAACTTCGCGCTAATCTGTTCGATTCCATCGTTCTTCCTGCGCTCTGTTTCGGGTAGGAGACTAGGGTCACCAGGACATCCACGTCAAGGGCTCTGAGCACAAGACACAGAGCGCTCGAGCGATTCTTTTGAGGTTCAATCGGCTCACTCAATATCGAGCCGCAGCTCCGATATGCGCAGAATGTCTCGACTCTGCGATCTTGTGGAATACATGATAAACGCAAAATTTTGGTGGGCCAGTCATATAATGAGAAGAGATGATGACACATGGACAAAAAGGACAGACGAGTGGGCTCCCGTAAGAACTTCGTTATCTGAGGGTAGACCTGCTGCGAGATGGGGTAATGTGCTTATCGATCACGTGAGAAGGCTGCGACAGCAGCTGAACGACTCCTCACATAGTCTTCTTCGTCGAATTCTGAGTCTACCATGGATGGCGATCGCGAAAGACAGAAACGAATTATTTGTTGCTGGTGCTCGCACATGTGTGAAGACGAGCCGTATAAGTATAAGTACGAGTAAGGATTATGAAGGATTCGGACTTATTGCTGCTAGTCATTCTCCAATCGAATCGCAAGCACGACAAAAGATCTTCTCAATAATGGGAAGTAGAGTTTAGGCAAAAAGATAAAAACAAGATGCACGACTTCGAAAAATTGACCAAGCAAAGATGAAGAACCATTATGTCCTTAACTCGCCTTACTTTTTTCTTCATATGTTGTCGTTACTCACATGTGGTCTTTAATACTTATCTCAACAATACGAGAAAAAATATAAATATATGGAGACGACACAGCTTTCTCATAATCACACCGATGGTGCTTTCGGGCATTTTTCAGATAGAACAGGAAACCGATGGACTATCTATTTTATGCACTGCTTCGGATAATGATACAGTCACCCTTAAATTTCACCAAAACTCACGTTGCAGGGGACTCCGGGAAGAGGCCTAATATGTAAATTGTGCCCTAATCGGACCATAACTTGTAGACCAACAACGAGTTCCATCTCAATGACATGGACAATTTGCCCTTTATTTTCAGAAAAGTCACTTTGCCTATGTTTCCAAATGATACAGCCACCTCATATTTTCCCTCTGCTTCCCATTTTCACACATTCCCACACAATTGCTTACTTTGTGCCAAGTTTTCCAATTTAGGTGATGGGTAAAAAAGTTGCTACCCGATTTTGAGGCAGGTCAAACTCCTACAAACGAGGAACAGGGACCGTCAAAACGGAAAAAACGCTCAAGATTTGGGCAGGTCCTATACATTTGTCAACAATTTCGCCCCGACTCCTACAGAGTATAGCATCAAAAGGAGTAGAAGACATTTTTTGTTTTCTGGAAGGGTATAAGCGAAGGATTTTGAGAGAGGCGTCGATTACGACGAAGTCATATACGAAAATCAAGTCTTTTTCGGAGCGCAACGCCCCAAGGATTGCTGTTCGGAAAGTGATAGAAAAAGACCGAGCTGATCGATGACGGAAAGTAATGAAGGCATTTCATTGACCGAAAAGCATCGCAATAACCTGGTCGCAATAAAGAGATGCATCCGACCGACAGGGGTAATGTGCCTTTTCATGGCTTGTCGTTCACTCTTCTTTCTCTCAACTGTGATGCCCCAGATGGAAGCTTGTTCTACTGGTACGATCTGAGAATAGATAGACCAGTTTACCAGGCAAAATTTCAAGGAAGAGTCACGGCATGGGCGGCATTTTTTCTCATTAACGTCTTCATTTATGCTTGGTTGTCAGCAAGCTTGAATCTTCCAGTTATCGAGTTGTAATCCGCCATGCTTTCCTTCCTTTTTGGTACTATTAGAATTGGCAGCAGAACCTCGTATTCATGCAAGATAATGCCCCCATTCGCGTCGGCCGGAGCACCCAAAACCGCTTTAGCACGCACAAATTCGACTTTTTGGCCTTACCGGCCAATAGCCCTGACTTGATTCAATGGAAAAAATTTGGGGATCATGATGAGGAAGATTTGTGAAGGAAACAAGCAGCTGGAGGTATCAGTGAGCTGAAGAAAGCAATCGTCAGCGGTTGGGGCACCAAGTTGACCAGAAACTCATTGATAGCCTTTACTTAAGCTTAGGCAATCGTATTTTTTCCATATTAAGCCTTTTCCTGAAGTGCCATGGATCGTGAGTTTTGGTGAAATTCATGGGTGGCTGTATCGATATGCGATGCAGCGCAGTAGCATCTCAGAACACCAATTTGGAATCACTACACAACTCATACGCGGTATCCTCTCATTGGTCTGCAACAAATTTAATCGCTGTCTAGTAGCTCAACTCAGAGGCCAAAAGGTAAAGTGAACTGCTTCACAACTCAGTGATAGGAGATACGAAACTGGTGACTTCAGAGTTGTACCAAATCGTAAAGCAGCAAGGGACTTGAAAAAGGTCCCTACTGCCTGAAGAAAATTCGAGATGGAAGGGTGTCATCGAGTTGAGACGCAGATCCAACCTTTGCAAGAGGGAAACGAAGCACTGTGAAACGAAAAAAATCCTATCACCAAAAGAGAAGGTGATGGTTTCGTGCTTCACTCTGGTTTCAATCGCAAACTGGATCATTCATACACATTACCTAGTACCTAAAAACTTGTCTTTCGTGATTATCTTACGACATCGATATTCACAGTATCGTAATAAGCGATGATGTGTTTTATTTTGCACAAAGAGCTCTGAAGTCATCGGAATTGCCTACTGTGAAGTTGTGATCTCTTCTTATTTTGAGAAATCGTAATAGAGTAACAGTCAACATACTCCTAGTTTCTCTATTTGCAGTTCGAAGGCAGTGCCCCAATATCTAAAAAATGCGCTCACCGAGCATTTGTTGTTCTGCTCATTTTCAAGTATTTGAAACTCGAGAAGATCATAGGCTTCACGGCAGACACACAGATCTCTTTCCATGTTCTCCACTTGTTGCTCTAATTGACGGATACGTTCTGCTTGTGATGCTACCACTCCTCTCAGTTGTTCTTCTTGTGATATCTAATAAAGATACGCAGACTGAGTCTGAAGAGAGATAGTAAAGAAAAAGGAGCAAACGAGTTTGGTAAACGATGTAAAGTAGGTGGTATAGGAAAAGGCATGGTAGCAAGAGATAATTCAAGGATTGTTCCCTAACCCCCTCCCCCTTGGCTCGCGGAACTTACCATTCTCTTCGCGTTGTAGTCGTGAGGTGGTTGTGTCTGGTGTGGTGATGATATGATTTATTCACAGCATCAATGAGACATCCAAAGTGGCGGAGTTTGAAACCAGGGCTCAATCGACGATATAAAAGCTTAAATACATTGAATTCGATGTTGAACTAATTATTGATCTCCATTCCCGGTTTAATCAGATATTCAACTGTTTGGAAACCTGGTTTTTGAACCACTGGTACTAAAAATATGTACCTTATTTTTCTTCGACGGGGTTTGAAATGCCTCCAGCCAAAATGTTCGTGAATACAATTAAACCTATTTCAATCAACACGTTGCGCTCAGATTAAAACCAGCCAAGAACTACTAGTCATGCAAATACAGATTTCGTTTAGAAATATTGCAGAGTTTGTAAAAGGGAAGAGGATTGAGAAAAATCAATAACCATTCCCACATGCGACATATGCGCGAATGAGGTTTATCATGAATTCGAATAAAGCTTCTGTTCAGGAAAATTCAAAGTTTGGAAAAACGTGGAGTGGACTGAGAAGAGATAGACAAACTCTTTCATGTAATGCGATGTGTGTACGGCAGTGGTTTACCATAAAACCAACTGAAGATTCTAGAAATATTTCGGAATTCAAAAAAAAAAAGCGAAGGGAATGGAAAACATTGATAGTCATTTCCAGATGCGGCATATCTATGCGCGAATGTGGTTTATCATGAAATAAAATAGAGATTTTGTTAAAGGAAATTCAAAGTTTGGAAAAAGTGAAGTGAATTGAGAAGAGGTAGACAATCGCTTTCATATAATGCGATATGTGCACGGATGTGGTCTACCATAAAACAAATAGAGAATCCTTTGAGAAATATTTCAGAATTCGAAAAAAGAAGTGGAAGATTGAGGGGAGGTAGACTATCATTTCTACATCATGCGATATATGATCTATAATGCTTTCTTCGGGCTTCTCCAAACTTCTCCAGGTATTTTTGCAATGATTTCTTTTGCTAACACACATATTTGCTCCATATTGAGTATTAAGTATTGGGTTGTAACATAAGTTCGTAGGGTTTTGTGTTAGGGTCATTTTACAACGATTCGCTTTGTTTTTTGGCGGAGTGTATATATTCAGTCGAAAGAGCTCTTTCTCCTCTATAAAATAGTTTTATTCGTTTTTTTGGATAATCTAGTTGTACGTCTTTTTTCTGGCTCAGAATTGGAATATCCAGGAGGAGAAAATCAGCATTTTCGACAACTGCTTTTCATCGAGGTCAATAAGCAGCCGAAGCCGCTCGGGACATATGCAGTGTGTACGAGGAAGGTGTTCTAGGTGTGTCTCTGGGTGGCCCCAGGAGAGGCACCGAAGCCGGGAGTCAAGCAAGACCTTCACTTAAAATAGGTCATGATTTGCGTTTGGTGAGACTGGAAAGGCACGGTGCACTGGGAAATGCACGAGCGAAATGCTACTGACAACAAGGAGGTCTACATTGCCTAGCTTAACCGTGTTAGTATGGCTATACGGCTGAAAAGACCGGATAGACAAGGTGAAGTCATCTTGCTCCACGACAGCGCCAGGCACCATAATGCCCAAGTCGTCAAAACACCACTTCAAAAGCTTGAATGAGAGGTTCTTCAGCATCCACCGTACTCTCCGGATCTTGCACCTACCGACTACCACCTTTCCGCTCTCTGTCAAACTAAATGAGGAGTGTTACCTTCGATGGCGAAGAGGTTCTTGAAAACTGGCTCAACAACTTCTTCGACACCAGACCGGCCGATTTTTGGCGAAACGGCATCAACAAATTGGTCGAGAGATTGGAGGAGGTCGCAAACAGTAACAGGAGGATACATCATTGATTAATTTATTATTATAATTATCGTTTTTTGTTAAAATAAATCTCTGCGAAAAAACTCTACGAACTTATGTTACAACCCAATACATTCCCCAGTCAATATGAATTGAAGTTATATTAGTTACTCAAACACAAAGGAGAAAGGGTAGAAATTTCAACGTAAGCAGTCCAATTTTCGTAGTGTGCATATCCGTGCACATATCGCATTATATGAAAGAAATTGCCTGCCTCTTCTTAATTCACTTCACTTTTTTTTTCCAAACCTCAAGTTTCCTGAACGAAATCTTTATTTGATTTCATGATTAACCACCATTCGTGCACATATCGCATGCGGGAATGGTTATCGATCTTTGTCGATCGTCTTCACTTTTTTTTCGAACTCTAAAATATTTCTAAACGAAATCTTACGGATAAAAGGTCCAGTATTCCTTTCGTTTGGAGTTTTCTTCAGAAAAAAAGCCTGGTCATTTCGTTGGCAGCCGTTCTGGTGTTCGCTTAACGTCTCGAGGGATCCAGTCAGTAACCGCCCTGTCCAACGGTCATCACTATCGCATAACGTGTCCGGCCCACCTAATCTTCGATTTCCTGGCGTAGGCGGCATCCTTGACCTTCGTTTAAGGGCGGAACTCTGAACTTCGAATCCCCTTCTGCAATTGCGTGTATAGGGAAAATCCCAGCGTAGCCCTTGCCACAGCGCGTTGAATGACGCTGACAACATGCTCATTCAGCTTTCGTAGAGTCCAAGTCTCCGAGGCGTACGTCAAAGCAGGAGAGACAGCAGTGTCGCAAAGGTGGGCGCGGAGCCTGACGTTAGTTGTCTTCTTCACTACTCCCTCTATTATCTTACATACTCCCCACGCGGAGCGTTTCCCTCTGCACAGCTCCGGAGCTCGGTCGTTCATCATCCTGACTTCCCGACCTAGATACTCGTAACAAGAGCATCCAGAAATATCCGTTATATTCAGCATAAAGGAAGTATCAGGTCCGCTTTGCATGAACACCATCTTCGTTAAATTCAGTTGTAAGCCGATCTTCCCACCAGCACTGTGAAACACGGCCAGCATTCGTTCCGCCTGCTCTGCGCTTCGTTTCTTAAGGAAGATGTCGTCTGCAAAGCGAAGGTGATGTGGATTGCGGCCGTCGTTCTTCACTCCCATGCCTTTCCAATCCATATAAAGCATGATGTTCTCGAAAACGGCGCTGAAAATTTGGGCGAAATGGTATCGTTCTGCCGGACACCTCATCACGTTGATAATGACATCCTTGTAGGACGGTGAAATCCTGGTCGTGAAACTGTCGTAGAGCTCACGAAGCATCCTTATATATTGCGTAGGAACACCCTGGTTGCCCAGGGCTTCAATTACAGCTTCTGTCTCGATGGTATGAAAGGCTTTCTTCGAGTCGACGAACGTTAGAAATAACGGCATTTTGTACTCCCGCGATATTCCAGTGAGTCTTGTAAGAGAGTGGATATGATCGATTGTATCGAACCCTCTCAGAAACATTACTTTCTCGCATGGCTGTTCTTCATGTAATATTCTGCCAATCCTGTTCAGGATCACTCGCGTGAAAAGCTTACAGGCAGCAGGCAGATTGTCCGATAGTCGCTAATATCGTCGGGATCTCCCTTCTTGTACAGCAACATAGCCTTGCTAGTTTTCCATGACGCGGGCACTTTGCATTCCGACGGGTACCGCGTAATTTTCATATAAAGATCTACAATATCTACCTATGACTGATGGTTCGACGGCACGAGTGCAGGTCCTAACTGCCGGCTACCTCAGCTCCCTCCGATCCAGAGTGGCTAACCATAAAATTGATGTAGGATTCTCATTGCACGACAGTCATTTCCACTAACGCTTAGTTTTAACAACGAAATCCTCATAGAGGTTAACTGACCAGGGAAGGATCCCAAGTTGAAGTGGTCATTCGGAATGAGACCTACACTGCTGGACGTGTTTTCGATGCTGAGTTCAAATCTGCTTTCCAAATTTGCCGAGCGTTTCTATGACCGGAGTTATGAGGGTGGTTTCAGGGAGCTTAACATAAGGAAACTTAAATCACTTGGATTACTTTCTTCTCAACGGCGGCTTGGTGTGGTGGT